CATTTTGTACGGGAGGAATATATGGTTTTGTTTAGTAATAGGTTCATTGATCCAATTACTAAACAAAACCATGGGGGCGAGAATCAACAAACTCTCTGGCGGTTTGGACTGCCGCATCGGAGTTGAATTTTTTTCCTTGTTAGAAGTTGTCCCAATTCCGGAAAAAATGTTAATCTTTTGGAACAAGGTCCGTGGATGTCGCAGACATTCAAATTGTAGCTCATCTAACTTAGTAGTTGTTTGTTGTGAAGTGTGTTGTCTTGCGTTGTCGTGAAGCAACAGTGGCCTAGAGCGATTGACAAATCTCAGTTGTTTAGCAGCTAGTTCATCCTTCATGGTTTGCAGTTGCTGACAATAGATATCTGCCGCAATCGTTTGGCTAGATTTTGAAAGTTGTAGTGAACGACACCGGCGCTAGTCCACCAAACACTTATAAGTAACTTTTTCTGAGTAAATTTTCGTTTAGGGCAGGATTTGGCTGGGTCTCCAGGGTTCAGCCATTGCAACAAGCGCTTCCGATTATTGTACAGTATCCACTTTTCATCACAAGTAATGATTAGATTTAAAATCCCTTCATTTTTGTGTCGGTTGAGCAAAGTAACACAGCAGTCGACGCGTGCTTGCATGTTCGATTCACACAAATCATGAGGTACCAATCGTTCAAGTTTTTTTTTACTTTCCCGATTTGCTTCAAGTGGATTAATACAGTTTTATCACTTATCCCGAAGCCTGCAGCTATCTGTGAAGTGCTTTTTGATGGATCCGCTTCCACAATAGCCTTTAATTCTTCATTTTCCACTTTGGTCTCCGGCCGTCCACGGGGTTGGTTCTGAAGGTCGAAATTTCCAGAACGAAAACGTTGGAATCAAAAACATACCGTGCTTCCTTTTTCGACACCAGCGCCATATACGTCATTAATTCTGTTTCTGCAGCACTGGTGCCACAGTAGAACTCGTATTCGTAAATATATCGATATTTTATTTTTTCAATGTACGGTAATAAGCGACGCCAAAGAAAAAATAATGTGGAAAAAACAAATGAATGAGTGTTTTCAAAACTCAAATGTACCAGCCAAATGAATTTATAAATTTGAATTTGGAATTCTTAACCAAAGAGGAGATATTTCAGATCAAATTGGTCATTACGACAAAACGCTAATTTCATATGTAAGGACCCAATACTTTTCAGATTTTTTACTCTGTGGTGGTAATGTAATAGAATTCATCACCCCCATTCCATGGGTGCAAGAGGGGACTTTGGGTAATTCCAGAATTTTTTTTGGCTTGAAGACCCAGACCACAGACGGGCAGCTCCGTCAAAATTGACGAGATGTCTGTGGTTGTAATCGTCAAAACATCTACCAAGCATAAACAATTACATAATTAAACGAACTTACCTTAAGTGAAGTTCAATTTTAATTATATGAAGAGCTTAGTCCGAGATAACTTGGTAGTATCGTCTACACCTTGCTCGATGAACGCGTCCTTTTAGAGTAGATCTAAAACAAAAAAGTTGCAACACGAACGCAACCTCACGCTTCTCGAATGTCATTCCTTTTAGAGTAAATATTAGAATATACTGTTTACTTGGGTTAATAAGTTGCAAACTAATTAAGTGAGGTAGGTGGGAAATTATATCTCGGACTAAGCTCTTCATATAATTAAAATTGAACTTCACTTAAGGTAAGTTCGTTTAATTATGTAATTATATTCAAGCTTAGTCCGAGATAACTTGGTAGATGTTTAGAGTTAATGAGTAAACATATAGATTCTCATTGCATTTGCACATTAAATTGGAACTTAAAATTATAAGAAAGAAAGATTCAAAGAATACTAAATTTTAATCAAGTAGAGTTTGTCCTACATATTGTTTTTGCAAACAGGTGATTATCATTTACCAGAAGTCTATTATAATGTCTTGCAAATGTTTGAGAGTTTGCTGACCATCCAACTGTCTTTAATATGTTATCTATTGTAAGTCCTTGTCTTAGAGCACTAGACGTTGAGGCATGTCTAGTTGAATGTGGAGTAAATGTGCTTGTATCAATACCACTTTCGCTCATTACTTGTTTAAGCCACCTACTTATGCTTTGACATGTGGCTGCTCTATACGGTTTTCTAAATGTTATAAAAATATTTTGTGTACTTCCATCCTGATCTCTTAATTTTTTAGTGGTATCAATGTAAAATAATAAAGTTTTTGCTGGGCAAATCTCACGCTTTTCTTTAAAATGTGGTAGGATTAACATTGGCTGTTGTCTTCCAGGAGCCGATGTTTTAAGTAAGTCTGAAACCAGTATTGTAACACGTGTCTCAGTCACATTTACATCACTTAATTTAATTAAAGATAGTGTTCGTATCCTTTGCCCAGTGCTGAGTGCAATCAACATAGCACATTTTTGGTAAGTTTATCTAAGGCAAGTGATTCAAGTGGATACAATTTTTGCAAAAAATTTAGGACTATTGAAGAGTCCCATGTCACACTATATTTTGGAGTTTGTGGTCTAAGCCTATATACTCCTTTAAACCACCTTTTTATTGTTTCATCTGTTTCCAGATGTGATCCTATTATTAAGGAAAGAGTTGATCTATGGCAATTAAGGGTCTGATAACTACAGCCTTTATTATATAACTCTGTTAAGTATGTTATTATATATGGCATTGATGTCCTATAGATATCATGATTGTTTTGCGTACAGTAATATCACCACTGTTTTAAACATGTATTATACTGTTTTAATGTATTTGAGGACAGAGATGCTAACATCAAATCACATGCTGACTCCGGGGTTTTATTTAGTTGGAACGCTGTCCTGATAATATGCATGCCCCCAGGGTAAGTTGTGCATGTAGTGGGTGGGTGTCCTGAAAGGAGAAGATAAGAGTTCTAATGAAGGTGGAAAGTAAATTACTTCCGAGTCTATCATTGATTTCATCATAGGATACCAGGGCTGAGCAGTCCAAACAGGGAAAATAATGATGCCCCTTGCCTTTTCATTCTTAATTGTTTGAATTGTTTTTAAAAGAACTGAAAATGGTGGAAATGCATAAAATTAGAAATCAGACCATCTTAATGTAAATGCATCTATATTCCAGGCTTCTGGATCTTTTTTGCCATGACACATATTTAATGCATTTTGTATTAATCCTAAATGCAAAAAGGTCAATGTCTGGCTGGCCAAACATTGTAACCACCTTGTTAAAACTATCATCTGATAGTTCCCATTCAGCATCTATATTCCTATTTCGAGACTCAAAATCTGCTTCTCTATTGTCTGATTTAATGTAAAAGGCAAAAACCTATATCATTCTCTTCTCACAAAATTGCCACAATAATCGAGATAAGTTGTTAAGCTTAGGATATTGAACTCCCCCCATACGATTAATATATGAAATTGCAGTTGTATTATCAACTCTCAATAATATTTCATAATTTTTTAAGTCTTTTGCAAAACATTTTAAACCAAAGTATGCTGCTAAGAGTTCTAAATAATTTATATGATTTTGTTTATCTTGAATGGACCAAAAACCTCGTGCCACTTTACCATCACAGTGTACCCCGTACTAGAAGCGTCTGACCAAATTTCTAATATAAACTGATACTCTTTTATTGGATTATATGCGGTATTAATCTTATTTTGCCACCATGATAAATCTAACTTCACATTTTCACATTTTTCATAGTCTCCATTTGATCTCTGTAAAGTTATGTATTTCTCCCTCTCAAATATTTTTGTGTATACAAATCCATATGATACTGCCATACATATAGATACAAAACTACCTACCAAGGCAGCAAATTCTGTAATAGAACAGTACTTTAATTTAAGAAATTTATGTATTGCAGATAATAAAGATTTCTTTTTATTTTCTGTGGGTTTTATTATCATTTTTTGTGTATTTATGACAAAACCTAAATATTCTCTTTCTTGTGATGGAATTAAATTACTCTTTTTCATATTAATTATAAAACCTAAACACTGAAGTAAATTTACAGTTTTATGAACATTGTCTAGGCACTCTGCATAAGAGAGTCCTATGCAATTAAGATCATCTAAATAGGCAACATTTATGAGGCTTGACTTCTGAGATGTTCTACTACTGGTTTTAATAATTTTGTAAAAGTATATGGTGCAGTAGACAATGCAAATGGTAAAAAATTGAACTCATACAGAATTCCTTTATATTTAAAACGTAAAAACTTTCTGAAATCATCATGAATATTAATTAAATAGTATGCATTTTGTATATCTAATGTACACATATAACTGTCCTTAGTCACTAATTTGCATAAGGTACGAATATCTTCTAATTTGAAGTGTGGAGGATTTATGAATTTATTTAGGGGCTTAAGATTTAAAATAAATCTATGTGATTTATCAGGCTTTGGAATACAAAAAATATTCGATAAGTATTGACCTTTTACAGGAGTACACTGTGAAATAGCATGTAATTTCATTAACTTTTTTAATTTCTATAGATATAATCCCATCTTCTAAACCTGACAACTTATCATTCAGTGGTAAGCAATTATCTCATGTTCACTCAAATTTGAGGTGGATTATCAATAAAAGGGATTTTATAGCCCTGTATCCATGATAAAATAGTGTTATGATTTGTAAGCTTATTCCAACAGTTATAAAAATGTTTAATTCGACCAGTAAAATGTGTTACCTCTATGGGTATTTGGCATGTTGTTGTCTGTAATTATTTTGTTTGTGAGGCTGGCTGCGAGTCACTGCCGGTGCTTGGACCTTGGTTGCCGGCCGTTGAAAATTTTGATTTCCCATGAACATCTTCCTCTGGGTCCTTTGATGTTGAGGGGGATAGTAGTTTTTTGTAGTAGAATTTTGCCTTGGCTTAAAAGGTTTTGGAATAGATTTCTTTAGAAGATTTGAAGCAGATTTTTGTAAAATTGTTGCACTCTTTACACGTTCACTCAATCTTTCTCCAAATAAGAATTTATCCCGTTTGAGATCCGCAAGAGTCTTAGATATGGTTTTATCTAAGTGAGGTATTAACAAATTTTTTCTTATTACCGTATCTTCTGAATGGAGATGGCCTTCTGGCCGCCTCTGTCATGTTTTTTATGATATCTAATTTATTAAAATTTTGTTTGGTTAAATTATCAACACCTTTTAATATTGTGCCTGTGGCTAATCCTAATGAATTTTGGCGGTTCTCAATTTTTTTATCTCTTGTTTTTACTGACTCCTGTATCATGTGTAATTCAGGATTCAGTAGTGGTGCCTCTAACAAAATGGTATTTTCTGGTATTAGTTGTTCTTTTTTATATGTTTCGATTTTTTCTTTAGTCAAGCCTTCCATCAAAATACCTTCGACCCTTTTATAAATCTCCGGATGTATTGGTTGACCATATGAAGATTCATTACTAATCGGAGGACCCATGGCTTCTATAATATCCTCTTCTAGATGTTCTTCTTTAACTTCCATAATTTCTACCTCCTCCTCCTCCTCTGGTTCGATATTTTCCAGAATAATCTCCTCTTCTGATTCAATACTTTCCACTGAAATTTTATAATTATAGTAGTATTGTATTATACTAATTTTCTTATTTATGCTTTCATTTCTCTCCCCCCCTTTGTTTACAGATGTAATGCCCATAAATTAATGATATTCGATTGCTATAGTACCAATATAATGGTTTAATAGTGACACTCACTTTAAGAGGCCTCCATATTAAATGGTATGGCATGACTATTATCCCCACGGGATAAGTCAAAAGTGACACTCGCTTTTACGAGTTTGTGACATATGTATCCAGGCATATTATGACTGGTCGACTAATCCCCACGGGAAAGTCGTGACTATGCCCCACGGGATAGTCTCAAAAGTTTATACACATAAAATTTTGGATGGTAAAATTGAGGATAAGTAAACCTCATTTTAAACTTTTTAGAAAACATTGGCGGTCTACATGTTAATTTTAATGATCTTTTAAAACTTTTTGTTTTATTTTAATGAAATATTATATATCCATAAAGTTCCGCATAATGCAATTGATTAATTAAAATAAATTGAGTCATGATAAAAACAGACTTACCAATATCGCCAACATCATTTTCGATTCTATTATCTTTTGAATGTTCGTCTTTACGTCTTTTACAACGTTCATATTTTTTCTAAAATTTGTTCAACTTCCTTTCTAAACGTTCTTCTTTTGACTCCCTTCGTCTTTTAGGCATTTTAAACCAACGTAACCAGAATAAATTGCACAAAAACTTTCGAGATTTAGTGCGCAAATGCAAATGGATGATTGTTCATCAAACGCGGTAAAACAAATGACATTCGAGAAGCGTGAGGTTGCGTTCGTGTTGCAACTTTTTTTGTTTTAGATCTACTCTAAAAGGACGCGTTCATCGAGCAAGGTGTAGACGATACTACCAAGTTATCTCGGACTAAGCTTGAATATAATTAAGGTAAATATTTCTACAACGGGAGAGACCAATTTAAATCTCAGATAGACCACTTTTTACCGACTGTAAAAAAGACGAATGGAAGCCGTGTAGAAGTGCTGTAAGAATATTCACTTCCCGTCATAGTAGGCGACCGAGAGAAACCAGCCCACAAAGCCTCCTTTTCACCGGCTGTTAAAAACGATAGATGGAAGTCGTGAAGTGACGGTGCTAGAATATTCACTTACACATGTCATCCCATGGGTGTTATTAGAAGGCGACAGAGAGAAACTATAACAGTAGATGGACAGCAGAATTTTCTTGATAAGAACTGAAAATAATTAAAAACTGTAGTTGCCAAATCGCCTGCCAATCGTGGCTACTATGCCAAATTTATAGGCTGTAATGGATGAAAATGGAGTGAAAAGAGAATGGAAAGGAAGACAAAAAACGATTATGTATCACTTATAAGACAGTTAAGAGCGATAAAATTCCAGGAGCTAAGCATTTGTTCTTAAATTTCACAGTAACCTGGTATTCGCGAATCTCTGCAATTCCCCTGGTGTTGCAGGCGGCGGTATTACTTGAAGTCATGTGAGCATTATGCTCGTTTGCCCATATTCTAAACAAAAGCCCTCAGAAGTGACAACGCATTTACATTTTGAATTTGAATGTTACTGTATGGACTCAATAGATGTAGGTGTATGTATGAGCCACCATCCACTTACCTTTAGGTGGACTGTGTGCTCGTTTGTCACACTTTTTCTATTCAATAAACCTGGGATTGATCCCAGCTTACGTTGTGATAAAATTCGTTACCTTGTAGGAGGCTTATGTTCAACCATGGACTTGTGAAAAGCTGTTATAACAAAGATAATGTCATTAAAGGGAAACATCGGGAGGAAATATACATGACTGACAAAAATATTTCGAGTTCATAAGAAGTCCGCTTACACGCATTACAGCAATGCCACGGATTAATAGTCCTATCAGAAGTGAAAGGAGGCCTGTTTCCGAAAGTGATGAATAAGGATGTATAAGGATGGCAGACGCATAGGCTGTATATGGTTGACGTATTTCCACGTATTAGAACCACGCTGCAGCTATATTACGGTTGTAGAATGGGTCGGTTCGTCCGGGGTAGGACCACACTTTTACAGAATATCAAAGTAAAATAGCAGCTCAATGCCGCTGTGTTTAGTATGGTGAGTGTAGAGAACTGGATACACTTTTTACTAGATACGTGATATTCCATCTTAGTTCTCATGAGTGACAACGCATCTGAATTTTGATTTTTAATCCAAGATAGATGTAGATGTCTATAGTCTACACCAGCTACTTCCCATCAGGTGGACTGTGTGCTTGTTTGTCATAAGAAGGTTCATAGATTCATCATCATGATTCACAAGTCAACTGCAGATTATCGGTCTCCAAGCAACGCCACAAAGCACGGTCCTGAGCCACCGTGCTGAATACGAGTCTACCTAATTCCAGCATCTATTGTCAGGTCGTCAATCCATCTTGATGGCGACCCTATTTCGACTACCGGTAGGAGGCTGCCTTCGGACTCTTCCTTCCCCATCGGCCGGTTCTTCGAGTTATATGGCCGACCAGATGCCACTTCAGCTTACTATGTTTTATATGATTGAGTTTATTTCTATTTTAAATTACTTATATAATCTTCTAAAAATTTTGATTTTTTTTCATTAATTATATTTAATGCAAAAATATTCTACAGTCAGTTTGTGTACAAGCCAAATCCTAAACAGATTTAAAATGTTTTTCTGTACCACAGAAAAAATGAATTCGCACATAGCGAGGTGAAACTGCTGTTAACGAAATCAAAGGTTCACCTTGCAAATTTGCTTCACTTTGAAAGACACAAGTGGCTAGAATTTCACTATGGGACAGGCAACTAGTCAGTGTGAATTGCTAAAAAGAACGGGGCTACTTGTAATGCAGTTTTGAGTTAAGATTTCTATGTCGTATACGCGCCGTGGTGGCTTAGGGGTTAGGCGTTCGCAGTAAATTTTACAATACATGAGCAACACATGTTCGATTCCTGCCAAAATTGTCAATTGTTATTTTAAACTCACATTCATCTATAGCTCGGCGGCCAAGTGAAACATCGTGAGGGGGGGACAAGCATGTCTGAGTAATAAAATATTTCGAGGAAATGTGGAGTCCGCCAACACGCACTCGCACACGCACACATTATGGTTGTAGCACGAATGTGTCAGCTCGACCAGGGTGGGACACCCCTCTCACAGTATACCTGCGTAAAATAGCAGCGTAATACTGCTGTTTCGTGTGGTGAGTGTAGAGATCTGGTGACCCTTTTTACTGGAAACCAGGCTCGCATCTTAGTCCTCTGGGGTGACAGCGAATCTGCCTTTTGATTCTTGATTGAGGATAAATGTAGATGTCTATGGTCCACAGCATTCACTTACCTTCAGGTGGACTGTGGATCGTTTGTCACCCTTATTATATAAAAAAGCAGCACGGTGGTCCTATTGCTTCATAACTCTTTTAGATGTGAGAGGAGGACTATGCCCAGTATTGGGACGTAATTGATTTTAACTTCACTTTACTTTACTAGGATTCCATTTGCATTTTGGAAACGTCTTAATGTAGGCAACTGCGATAAAATAGAGCTTTACTATCTGTTTACGTCTGCATAAGTCTTAAAAAACTTTTTTCCCACTACTTTTATGAAATAAGCGTTGCTTAAATCGTTTATGTTCAAAATATTATATAGTAAAGTAAAGTAAAGTTACAGCCTATATACGTCCCACTGCTGGGCACAGCCCTCATTTCTGAGAGGGTTTTAGGGCAAGGAAGTGTCCGCCGCGGTACCCCAATGCGTGAGATATTATATAGCTCTTCAAAAATTAAGTTAAAGTTTTCTAACTTATTATAATATCGTCTCGTTTTAAATATTGAAATAGGAATTATTGTAAATGAAATGTAAATTAATCTCCTCTCACGGATTTCACTACAAATCTTTCAACATCTTTTATTGAAGGATATGAAGCGTGTTGGATATTACAGGATAGTTTTTGTAACGAATAAAATAAAAAGAATTATTAACTAGTCTATAGTCTAGCCAAGAAAGCAATCACCGGAGGAATGGGAAGCAATACTTTTTTTTAAAATTTATGTATCTCTATAAACAAGTTAACTGAATCTCAAACTAATAATTATCGTTATACGATTATAGATAAATTAATCATGCCCTACATAATTGGTAAAAATTAAAAATCTGTAGGTATGAAATTTCAGACACGTCCATTTAAATACAAAACAGTTTTACCTCAAGTAAATACCAGCCCAAATTGTGAGGAAGCAGGCCCATAGATCGCTGATGCTTTAATTAATTCAACTTTCTGTGATGGCAACAGATGGTCTTGTTCTCGTTGCGGATAGACTTGAAAACGATACTTATAAAATATCAATTAGTGAATAATAAGGTTGGGGTTATTAAAAATTCATCGGAAGGTAAAGGGGGTGATTTCCCGTCGGGCAAGGCATTCCTCCCGCGGAGCGGCTAACGCTCTACGTGATAATACATATAATAATTATAAATTTTAATACTTTTGACAAAACGAGTGCCATGTAGTGGTGGTGTAAGAATAATCACCACCCCATATTATACCGTGGCTGTCGTAAGAGGCGATAGAGAGAAAAAAATTCAGAAGATGGACAGCGAAGTTTTCCTAATAACGCCTAAAAATAAAAATAAAAACTGCAGTTGCCAACCCGCTTGCCAAGCGTGGCAACTATGGATAATATCCCCCCCATATGAGTCAATCTATGGGGGTGGCCTAAGTTCAGTAGTGGACTTTAATAAGCTATAACGGTAGCGGATAAAATGAGTGAAGTCCATAATTTGTACTGGCGTAATTAATACAAAAGGCTCCATAAAGCTAACGGCTCATTTTTGGGGTAGATGCAAATAACTCTCTTTATCAATATTCCCTGTAATATTTACATAAATTTAAAGCACGTAAAAATCGACTCAATATTCCTACAATGCGAAAGGTAGCAAGGAATAATGATTTCTTTTTAAACACGACTAAATCCGCAAAATTAGTTTTATTTTATAGCATTAAAATAATTTAAAAATACACAAAAGTCGGAAAAGCTACCATCACAAAGCGAAAAATATAAAAATATCGCACATCTGTCACGAGGTAACAACGCTCAGTTTATTTCAACTCGGTGCGGCTTTTTCACTTAGTTCTCACACATCGAAAGAGATGGCGCGGAGATATTTTTCGGTGAAATTATTTAGCTTTTGATAATCTTATTAAGTAAATAAAATTTAATATCGGCAAAAAATGTTTAACAAATATATAAAAACTTTTAAAATGTGGATAATTGCTTCAGAACGACGACATAATATTATTATTAAGAACGACGGGTTAGGTAAGCGACTTTTTAATATTAAATAAAGTAATAAGCGAACTTAATATAGTCCACCAGATGTGTAAACCTACCTACTGCAGTTCATAGAAAACTGCGGTCAACTTCAGCTACAGCTGCAGATGTGTTGACACCTCTGAGGATTAAGGAGGTATACCATACAACCTTTAGAGAATTATATGCTGTTGGTCCTGCCACCTTTACAGCTTCATCGAAATAGACTCATAAGCGACGACTCACGAGCTATTGAATGCAACGATTCTGCCGTCGGCGAGGTGCTTCGCCGAATGCAGTC